AACATACCTGGATAATGAGATTCTGGAAATCCAAAGGAGATTATTCTTCTGAGCAATTATACACCTCTTCACACAAAAAGCTAGCTCTTCTGTATGTTTGCCTTAAAGAGTTGCATGTTACTAGCCTTCAGGCAACTACCACCTAAAATTATTGAGATTTATCATGAATTGCACTGCTGTATAATGACATTATTATGCAGCAAAAGTTTCCCACCAATAGGAGAGTGACACAGCCTCCCTGCACATTAGCTCCCTCTATGATTTTGCACTCGTGATCTTCATTCTATTCCTCAGCACTGAACACATAATTTCGCGTTTTTCTTTGTCAATGTAACAAGACTTGTGATGTTTAGGGAACTTACTTTCCTTCTTCAAACTATAAACACTTGTTCATGTAACATCTATTACTACTACCTATATGAGTGACTAATTTCCTCACACAGGTTGTGTTGCAATTATGGCTTATGGAGGCAAATTCCCTGAGATGACATGGTGACCATTGTGATTAGGGTAGTGGTTTCTTTATATCTCAGGAACTTCAACTCCAGTCCCTTCTTTAGGCATTCTTCCCCTCATTTGTGGGGAAAATAAGGAGGATAAAATTGATTGTTCCTTCACTTGCTTAGGCTTTGGGGACTTCTCTCCCCATGGAAGATATACTTCATTTTTTATTGGCCTGGATTTATTAGGTATGCACCATTCCTTTCACTATCCCTGTGTTATGTTCTTTTTTTGTTCCCTACTTCTTAACCCTAACACATTTCTTTTTCTCCAACATCACTCATTTCCCTTTCTGTCTATCTGATTCTTATTTTCTAGATTTTAGTCTTTCTTCATCCCCTTTCATGATTCCTACATTTGGGATTGCCCTGACCGGTGTGGGGGCAGACTTTTGGCATCGGTTTTCCTTTCAGTACCCACTACTTCTGTCTTTACCTGATCCTTTTTTTACAACACTTCTTTATTTCTCCTCTCTAAACTTCCAGTCTGAGGCACTCCACAGTGCCCCAGTGAAACTTGTGGGTGATTCTTGTTCCTTTCACTCTTCCTCTTCTATCATTCCCATCTCACTTGCCTCCTTGTTCCTGAGGGTTGTTGGATAGGGATACTCTTCTATCTTAAGTTTGACCTCTTTCTTCCCTTCTTTGATCCATTTGCCTAACCCCTTTCTTTGCATTGAATCATGGGGTGAAGCTTTACATCATCAATACTCACTTTCTTATGTTGTTTCCACACTGTCCCCAACCCTACCTCCACTTTGGAGGAGGGGAGCAAAAAGTGGCCTAAATTGTGTGATGCAATTTATGGACAGGCCCTTGCAAAATAAAGTCCTGTTTCAAACTTTTGAAGAGTTGGTAATCCCAGTTGAACCAGACTTTCCCATCTAGTAATTCTTTCATTTCCCATTCAGGGCATCATTCTAACTAGTCCTCTTTGCATGGGGTGTGTGTCTTTCAACATTGGTTCATCTGTTTCTCTCTTCTTCATAATCATTCTACTGTTGGACATTTCACTTTTACCAGGTTGCTCTACAGCATTCACCTGTCTTTGCCTTTGTTGGTTATTTGGTGGCCTTGTCTTCACCATTTTGCCTGCTTGATACCACAAGGTGTTTCCTCCTATGTTCTTTCCACTTTGTTCTGGTTCTTTCTTACCCATAGACACACTCACCCTGTTTCCATGCATGTAGGAACCTCAATGTCATCCTGCATGCTCTTACCCATGCTCATTTGAGTCTTTGGCAACTTGCAACTTCTACTGTCTTCTCTTTAAACATATTCCTCTTTCTTCTCGCTGTTGTTCAAATCTAGCATCGTCTTGTGCACTTTCCATCATCCTCATATTCTTATTTCTCCAGACTGGTCCTTCCTCCCTCAGTCTCAAGCTAATCTTCTATGCCTGTTTGGACCCAGACAGACTTTTCTGCCTTGTCCATGCCATTTGTTACCACTTAGCTTGTACCTCTTACTTTTGGGGATTCTGTTTTCCACTCTACGATTTCTGGGATTCCTCTTCCTCCAGGAACAAATCTCCTTCTGCCTTTATTGGTATGGTCCACCAAATTCTTTGTTTGATCTCCTCCTCATTGGAGGTTGTTACTTGCGGATGGTCCTCATCATTTCATCACCTCTCTCATTCTCTCACTGCCCATTTCTGACAACTGCTGGACAAAGTCATTCAAGCTGGCATGTGGACTACCTTGCATGTCTTCATCACCCAATCTCTTTGTCATCTTGCTGTCTCATCTCCCAAGGGTCACTGCTTGCCTCTGTTTTCTATCTTACAATCTATCCACCATCTTCAGACAGGTTCCCATTTGATTTATAGCATTTGCTTCCAGAATCCCAGCAGGTGGCTGGTGGTGCCTCCTAGGTTATACTTATTTCCCAAAATTCTTCATTAAGCCACGATAATGGAAAGTGCTCATACCTACACTGGCTTCATGGATGCCCACTGTTGAGATTGGGTGTTCTGCAAGAACACTTGATGTATCCTTGTGGTATATTCCAGACTGTACCTATTCCATGGACTATCATGGAAAAAGCCAGCACCAGGGACTGCTTTGCATGCTTCTCTATCTTGTGCTTGTTCGCCTTTCAAAATAGGCTTACCTGGTCACCTGTTTTTCTGGTTGAAACGGGACCATTTAGGATCCAGGCATTTGATCCAGTTCTTTCCTTCACAAATTTCTTCCCCTTTTTTCTTTGAGTGCAGCACGGGAAACCCTTAGCACTTACCAGTTCCTAGCTGTTGGGGTTATGGATCATGGAGAACCCTCATTGATTGGGACCTAACAGCTGGGGGTAAAACAAGGGGTGTCAGTTGGTGGGATGTTGGGTGGTGGTGACACTGTCAGTGTAGTGTAGATCATCCCTGATATACTTATATCAACAACACAGCACTTCATACAATACTGTGCCATTCTCCTGCAGTTTGTGACTATTCAGTAGAGTTGAGGTGAGCACACACACACACTAATAGGTGTAATATCTAGCGAAACCACAGCAGGTGTAAAAGGCAGGGGGGCAGCAGCCATCCCAGCTTGCAGTACATATGACCATTGAGGCAAATTTTCAAATTTCATTTGGGCAAAATTAGAAGCACAAAATATGGTGAATCATGCAATTTTTACCTTCAATTGGGAAAAACTGGTAGCAGAAGTTTATTACTTATAACGTCATTTAGTCAAAAATCCCCCATACATCTATGCATACACTATACACATGTGCCCTTCTCCTGTTCAGTTGAGGTAAACACTTACTAACAAATTGTGCACTCCTCCTGCAGCTGATAACTGTTCAGTCGAGTCAGCGCTTGCACTCTTCATATACTCTGTGTACTTGATGGCGTGACTTCCATGCCCTCCTTCCACAGTTTGTGTCAGTGCAAGAGTCTGGTGGTAGAATTGAGGTGAGACACACCAACATTACATGCAAGATCATGAATTCTGTGCACTCCTCTCACAGTCGGAGTTGGTTCAGCAAGTATTTGAATGGCCATGTTCTTATTCCTTTCATACCCGCAACACATGGGGGCTTGTTTGTTTCGTTCTTCCTTTCAATCTAGGCAAAGAATGTACCCTGGAAGATGTACAGTCTCCCGTTACTGTGCCCCTACCATCAGGAGTCACAGTTCATGGGTTTTCTTTGGGCACTTTATGAAAGGAGCTCATGTAGGTAACTTTTGCACTGGACACTCTACCATATCAATGTGGGGTTCTAGCTTTCTGTGTGAAGAGATATGTATTGCCTCAGAAGTTAACATTTTCCTTACCTGAAAATGTATTTCTAATAGATACTCACCTCTTTACACACTTCCCACTCTTCATCCCCATTTCTTGTGGAACTTAGTTTTCCATGCCTCATCATAGAATGAAGCTCATGAGTGTAAAATCATAAAGGAAGCTAGTGTAAGGTGAGGCTGTATCACTTTCTTATTATTGGAGAGCTTTTGCTGCATAATAATATCATTATGCAGTAGTGCAAATCTCTAAGGCAGATGCATGGGAAAGATAGCTTTCTGTGTGCAGATGTATCTATCAGAAATATATTTTCAGGATATGTAAATGTTAACTTCAGAAGGCACGGAGGTGGAAAAAGCCTTTTAAAATTATTCTATTTGGCTTCAACATCAAAGGCAGGGGAAGGGAATTGTGTCGTGGGAACAGAAGTAAGGGTCCTGGCAGCATCATGGACCACACCACACATTGGACAATTGCTGTCAAATATTCCACAAATAAAAGATTTCCATTATTATTGGCAATTTGATGAGTGTGAGTGATATTTTCACCCACATCATTTGAAGAAGAATCCACATTAAATTGTGAATTTATGATGATTAAGTTTAAACACAATCAAAGTAAAATGAGTACAAAGTTCGTTGACAAGTCTCAGCAAACACTAACATCTTGACATGATTGTACAGAGGAAAAGAATAAGGATTCTCACTTGCAAATGCAGAGGGATGATTTGTACAAGGAGGTGTATCACTTCTATTGGGGGAGGGTTTTGTTGCATGATTCATCATCATGTAGTAGTACAAATTCACGTGAACAAATGTGGATTTAGGTTGGAGTTTCACAAGGATAGTGGCATACAAGTTTCTCAAGCAGAAATATGCAACTTCAATAGGAAAATAGCTATATGTACATGTAGGTATCTATTGGAAATACATTTTCAGATAAGGGAAATGTTAACTTTACTAGCATATCAAATGGTGTTACTACCATATCAAATAGCAGCTGCCACTAGCCTATATACCGACCAATCAAGAAGCAGAAAATTATTTTTGTGCATATGCCCCTCCTCTCATATGAAATTAGGACAGTTTAACCTATTAAAAAGTAATATTATTGCAAGATCTATAACTGAACTACCATATTAGTGACTAAATTAACTGCCTTATTGCTAATTGAAATTATATTGACAGTAGTTTTTGACAAAATAAACTTGCATATAAGTGTATCTTGGTGATTATTTTGACAATTCTTTTTACATAAGACTGTTCATAAGAAGTCAGGCTTCTGTGAGTGTGGGTCAAAAATGTACAGACCAACCATGCCCTCTGAGGAAAACAAATGGACGAGTATGTAGGGGGAAACTTTATGACACAATTCTGGATTGGGAGGATGAACTACCTGAGGAAGACTTGGAACTAGCTGATGTTCATTCCAGGTAATGAAGGAATTAGTATTTACCATTTGAGATGTATATTTGTAGAAACTTGTTAAGAGAACTAATGTCATTAGAAAAAAAATTGTTTTTCAATAAATGAATGAAGCTGAAGTTTTGCTACCATATCAAACTTGCCCTTTCTACTGTGTCCACCACACACTTTTATCACCAATAACTGCTAAATACTATAACTAAGCAAATTGTAAATTTTCAGTCATTTCACCCTGGTATTTAGAAATATTCTTCCATGTTCTAGCATATGTTAAAATTATGCATTTTTTATGGTCAGAAGCCTGCATGTTTTGCTGGTTGTTTGTTACACCATCCTTGTTTTTTTTTACGTGGTCAAAGTTGAAACTAATGTAGAATAAGATAAAGCCTTCCATGTTAGCATTTTGCTCTTAATATTTGCTGTATTGTAAATCTTGGTACAGTTTTTCCTCAGCTTTCCATCCTATTTCATTGTTGCTGAAAATCCTCTTGCCACCATTTATGTTTCAGTCCCATCTTTAATATACTTCACTGATAATGGATGTGTGGTATTAACTCGCATCATTGAGTATAGATGTAAGAATGTTTTTTAAGTTTTCAAGTTGATCATAGTAAATGTATTGATACCATGAAATTAAACAGTTAATGTTTTCTTAATTTTTATTTGCCTGCACATTTCAACAGTTGTTTTTTAAATCAATGCATTGTATTGATAATGAAATTATATTTATGGCTTATTAATTTCTTGCATATTATGTATGCATGACTTCTTCAACCAGAATGAGAACATTAGCTCTATTTGGCAGCTCTTTGAGTTTATGTTTCTAAACTGAGATTTTAAAAATTATTAGTAGGTGAAATTTCATTGAATGATCAAAATAATATAGCAATATAATATCAAACAGAGAATAGATGTAAAATTTAAACAAAAACAGCAATATTTTGATGTGTAGTATCATTTAACAAACTTTCATGTAATGTTATAAAATACTGTTCTTCATGTAACAAAACAACTACTTATGTTGTCTCAATTAATTTTTAAAAACAACAGGTGCAATACTATCAAAAGGTTCATACATTGCAGAAAACATACCTTTCTGATAAAAGTTCAAAACAGCAAACTTGCATTATAAGCAGACATTATCTAGATAAAAATGACTGAACCATCATGTCATTGCTATGAATTTAGAATAAGTATCTCAGAAAATAATGATATTGAAGATTTTCTTTGTTTCAAAGCCTGATACTTACATGTAATCAACCTGTGTTTCTACACTAAAAATGTAAGAATTATTTTTATGTGATTCAATAAAGGTACAAGGAAAAGTTGTAGTTTCTGTGTTAGAGCTCTTTCTGATAATTATATTATTTAGTGTGTGATTCAGAAGACTTAAGAGTTGTAACAAAATAGTAATGTAATTTAAACTGCAGTAGCAGAACCAGACAGCATTATATTTTATCGAATTATTTAGAAAAACATTATGTTGCTTAGGGTGGCTGATCTTAGCATTTGTCTTGGAACAACACTTCAGATAGTTCCCAGTGGAAGTTTACCACTCCTCACCAAAAAAAATGGTGGACGCATGGTGATTTGTAATCTGCAACCCACAAAATGTGTAAGTTGAATAAAAAAAAGTTTAATGCAGCATTTAAATTTTTGTTGTTTTGGGCATCCATTGTTTTATTCTTTTTTACTTTGTGATTTTCCATTGCTATTACTATAAATTAATAAAAAAAAATTTAAAAACATATGTTACTGAAATACTGTTTGGAATTTAAACCATATTTAAATTTTGCAGGGCCCTAGGTAGAAGTTATTCAAGAGCACTTGTAACAGTGTAACACTGCTACAACCAGGGATCAACAAAAAAACAAGTTATTAAACTGTAACATTTGGAATAAAATTTAGCACTTACCAAAAACACAGTTAATAAACAAATGTCTGGCCAGGACTTGATACTAATGTTAATAAACAATAAAACATAAATATCAACATTAATTATTTCAAATAATGGAACCTGCAAAAAGAACCAAAAGAAGAAAATACCTAATTACAAAAAATTAACACAATATTCCAAAATTACTTTTCTTTATTAATAATACAGAGTGACAAACAGCAATAATTCACTATCTTGTGATTCAGTTTATGAAGCTTATGGCAGAGTATTTATTCACTTCGTTAGGTCTTGTGATTATACATTTACATAATCTTTTGGTACATTAATAATATCTGTACATCACTAATAGGGAAGCTGGTGTCAGTTTCAAAACACATATATATTTATTCAAAATTAATGTGATCAGCTAGAAGGTGAGTTAACGTTTTAAGGTAACTAAAAATTCACAAATAAAACAACGTTAGAAGGAATAATAAATGAACGATAAACAAAACCATAACAAAAAAATTGAATCCACTATCTTGCAAATTCTTCCTCTACATATCAGAAGTAAAAGCAGTATTGTAGAGCCAGATGCCTAGAAGGCAAGATTAGACAGCAAAGGTATAGGAGAGCACTGTAAGCTCTGCCAGCAGGGTCTGGGGCCAGGCCTTGGAAGTCAGAAACTTGATAAAACAATTTGTCTTTGTAAAATTATTGCCCATGTAACATTGTGATATAAAATATAGCAGGTTATTAGCATTTTTTTCTTTTGTTTCACTTGTTACTTTTTCTCATCAGAGCTGTATGTTTGTAAAAAAATTGTCTATCTCCATGCTCTGCAGACATGGAGCCTATAGACAGCTTAATAGTTTGCCTAATTGGAAATACAGTGTTGTTTGGGACAATTTATTATTGTTTGTTCTGTAAATTCTCATTAAACAATGAAAACTAATTAGTTAAAAATAGCTTGGCATATCAAAATTAAATGTGGGGGAGGGGGTTACTTATTAAGATAAAATTTCATCCTGTGTTTTAGGAAAGATAAACATAATCATTGTCAGTGTTAGTAGGTTATATTATCATCTAATTCTAATTATTAGAATAACATATATATATGTTTTTAATTACTAGATACTAATTACTACTTTTTTTTATCTTACATTTTGGCTGCTAGTCTGCTGTTGTCTTCACGGAAGTCCCGAGAGGACAATTTCTGTGGTGATAGTGGCCATCATTCAATCCTGGGTCTTCTTGACAGAGAGGCTACTAGTGCTTTTGACTCTTTAACAAGAAGACCTAGCTACTACCACCTGACTAACAGTTATTCTCCAAAATGTAAGATATAAAACTGATTAATATATTGTAATTAGAAAATTGAGTAATTGATAATTAGACTTAGGTGATTGTCTAGGCTATTAACAAGATTTCCAATCTATTTTTAAAAAGAAACACCATGCACCATGAAAATATAGGTTTTTATATGTTCACTGTCTAGAAAAATACAGGTTTTCTCCTTAATGTTCTTCGAAAACAACCAATTTCCCAACCTGAATCAATTCTAAGATGACAAAGTTAATGGGACTTAAAAAAAAGTTTATTTCCAAGCAATACTTACCAAGTTCCCATAATGTTTATATAGGTTTGTTTTTTGTTTTTTTTTGCTATTACAAAAAAGAATTTTATCCTTTTTTCAAAATTCCCAATTTTATGAAAATATAAAAATACATACACGTGGTTCAGGTTGGTTGGAAAAAAAAAAAGGTTTTATAAGTCCTTTTTACAAAAAAATAGAACTAGTTTCAAAATATAAACTTTAATATGTTCACTGGGAAGCCTGTGTAATAGTAAATTAACATTGATAAGTAAGTACACTGTGGTGTATAACACTGACTTTGCTATTAAATGCATAATACAAATAAAGATACAAGTAACTGGCATAAACAGATTTTGAGAGTTATTTGGCAGACTTGATGAGCTCTGGCATGATAATTTATACACAGTTTTTACTTGGTGAATTTTCAGTAGGTCAAGTGAAAAATCTGTACTTGTAACGTATATAAACCTTAATATCGCACACCATTAATTCCCAAATGTTGGATTAATGTCAGTGATACATAAAAAAATTAATGTAAAAATTTGTAATAAGACCAATTTGAGCTTTATACTCACCTCACTTTTAGATTCACCAATGTTTACTTACTTTTAAATTGACAAATATTGTACCACATATATTTCAATTGTGACAGGAAAAACAATTACATTGTTCCCATTTATAGGAAGGTGTTAAATTTTACAGCTAGGTTTTTCTTTTTCTTAAAACTTTGAGAATTCTCTTGTACATAGTTTTTACTAGATGAATTAAGTGTTGGTCAATTGAAGAAACCTATACTTCTAACATACATAAATCTCAATGTTGAACACAGTTCTTAACCCTTTCCGCACACGGGTCAAAGACCATGTCATCGCATTTGTTGACTCGCATTCTAAATTTTATTAAATTACTTTTTTATGAATTTATGTCAAGTTTGGTATCAAACTGTAGATTATAATTGAAGTTTTAGTATCATACATTATTTAAAAGTAAATATTAAGAAACACACCTAAACATCAATTTTTGTGTGTCATATGGTATGTTATACAGCACTGGTTCAGATTAGATCTTTGTGATGTCAAAATACAAAGTCTGTAGTTTTGTACGAATTAGGAACTCAAATTACTGATATGAACAAGCTAGAATATAAAATAAGAACCTCGTATCTTTTCTATTTGCTGAGATATTGCTCATGTACTGAATCAAACACAGTGGCCTTGCTCACCTCTTTCCATTTTTGGAAATGTTCCCTTATGTACACTTCTGTCTATGACATGTGAATAACTAATCAAAAGTTCAGAATGCCCCCTACAAATCTTCAAGCTGGTAAGGTGAGTCTTTAGTCTGCTCAAAATCGCATATTTTTCTAGACCCTAATACAGTTTAATTACTAAGATTGGTAAATTATAGTGGAATTCTATTGTATCAATGTAGTAACTTATGATTTTTTGGTTATTTCAAATGCATATATAAAACCTAAAAAGAATTATTTTGTTTCACATCCTTCACGTGCAAAATTTTATAAGGCTTAGCAAAAAGCAAATGAGTACAAAGGTCGTAACTTGAAGAGTTGTTTGCTTTACTTCTTTATTTACTGTTCTATGTTGTAAGAACTTATTTCTAATTAGTAATAATGTATATACATATGTATAATAATTGAAATGTGACTGTATTTTACAAAATACTAGTCCACTAAAACAGTCAAGACAGGTCACTTTGTAAAGACTAAAGGTCAGTTTTATACTATTGGATATGGTAACATGAGTCATTGTAACTTCTGTATTGTTAACGTTAGCCGGGCAACGGCCGAAAGGTTAATGTAATAAAAATAATAAATATATAATGTTGTGAGATTTATGTTATTCTAGAACGAAAAAGACATAATTTATATTTATTTCCTTATTTTGTATGGTAGCTACGATATTGGTCAAATTGACTGAATAAGTACAGAGATTTGTTAGTGAAAATAACAGATAAAATAAGTTTTTTCTTAAAAAACCTTTTATAACTATCTGGATGATATAAAGATTTCGCATGTGAAAGTTGAAAATTTTCTGATGCTAAAAATTACTTTGCATGTTGGATAGGCAACATGCGAAAAGAAAAAAAAGGGCATGAGAAAAATATTGCTTAACAAACCTTAGCACTTAATAAAAAAATCTGATATTTTGCTTATGAAAGCCTTGTAATGTTTACTGATAATCTGCCAAATTTTGTGAACATACACTTTGTAATTTAAAATTTATAGCATGAAAACTATATCAAGCACTAAATGGTTACGAGGTTGGTCCCAGGGGCCGACCCATGCTGAGAGTTAATGGATGAATTCTTATTTGTTCAAGCAAGTACTCTTTACATGTGCTTAATAATCAAATCTTTGTCAGTTACTTATCAGCAAGGAAGATGAATAATACATTATCTGATATATATATATATATATATATATATATACACGTGTAAGTTTGATTTAAAGTGTGAAAGTGTTTCTTCTTCAGTACAGTTTTGCTGTTGAGATACTCAATAAAAATACAGTATATCTTTTGTTTCAGGATCATTTTGCTGACCTTATCATCCATGACTATGTTGATAACTTCATTGAAAAGCTTGCCATGCATTTAGGTGTGTCAATTCCTCCTTATTGTCCTGAACAGGATCCCACACTTAAGACCAAGTCTTCTGTCATGGAGTATTCTCCATTACGACTCCTTCCGAAGCATAAATTGGTACATTCAAATAAAATGCGAAAAAGAAAATGTAAGAGAGATGATCAAAAGTGCAAAAGTGAAATAGAATACCAAAGGACAAAGCATGAATTACCAAATACAAAAGTAGAAAAAAATACACAGTACAGCAATGAAACACAAGAAAACATACAAACTGATCTTGAAACAGAAAATACCACATAACATAGACTTAAAGACAAAGTCACACTAAACAAACTACAAACACATATATCTACTCAATAATATTTTAAAAAATGAAAAATTCTTATCACACCAGAACAAAAAAAGGTTGGAAAATTGTACATGTAAAAACAAACAAACTTATTTTATCAAGAAAAGCAAGTTAAATCTGACCACAAAACATGCTTATAAAATTAAATTCCTCAATTAAAGAAGAGGTAACTTTAGATGAGGATTTACTAAAAGTGTAGGATTGAAGAATAAGAACATAAAGGGTTAGATATAAAAAAGATTTAGAATTGTGAAAATCCAAACTTTTTATATTTTTTAATTGAAGTTTATAAGATAAATACAACATGATCTCTATCTCCAAAATAATGTTATTATAACTTATTATTAGGATGAAATTCCTGAAGAAGCCATAAGACAAAATATCAAGTTATGATAAAAATAATATTCTGATCATTGGTTGTATTGTATTTATTTTAGAAAGTATTTCTACTCTTCTTATCAGATGAATTCTACAGTATAAACACGTAACAAAGATTTATCTCTGTAAATTGTGATATGAAGAACTACTGTATGGTGAAGTTTTATACTACTATCAAATCTGTTTTTATTCCCATTTACTGAAATGTGCAAACGTTTTTTAATTCCAAGATTTAGGTTACAATTCAGCTTTTGTATATTTAATTGGTCAGGTCAAGAACTTTATATTTGTTTTTATAGCATTTTAATAACTTTTCTTTTTTTTTTGAACTTAGTATAATTTCAATCACCTTTGTATAGAATATTGTTATATTTTGGTATATGAAAAACTGTATTCTAGAGTTTGTTGCTTTAAGGAAGCAAAAAAGAATTAGTTTATTTTGAATATCATGCCCAGCTTTGTATTCTATCATAAATGAGGCAAGCAACATATTCTAGGTAACAACTTCATTGATTTAAACTAAATGTATTTTGTGGAAATAAAAAATATTCTGTATAGTTTTTAAAAGGTCAAATTTCATCTTGAAACATGTTTAAAGTAGTAGGAAATATTTTTGTAAATGACAAACAAGTGAAACAAGTTTGTGTAAAATACAAGTTTAAAGCTTTTCTTCTTCAAGGTAATTTATTTGTAAATAATCATCAATGAGTTCAGCAAAAGTACTTTACTATAGTAAATCTAATAAACTGTTCTAAAAAGCTCAATCTTTGTAGACTAATTACTGCATGTTCCAAGATTTAGGTTACAATTCAGCTTTTGTATATTTAATTGGTCAGGTCAATACAGATAATTTTTTCAAGTGACATAACTATGTAAAGTTTAAAACTCACTGAAAAAAAATGTATATTTGACAATGTTTATTTTACATTTCAAAAAATGAAATAAAAATAGGATATTCTTACAACCTAGTGAATAAAACATTTATCTTGAATCTTTTCTCAATTTAACCTACATTTTTAGTGGAAAATGTACAAAAAATCTATGATTTAAGTTTGCTACAATAATACTAATAAAGAAAAATTAAAATGTGGTAGTCCAAACTTAATATGAACTTTTCCTAACTCTAACTTGTTAATAGTTGATCAGTTTAAAAAAAAAATACAGTATCAACTCTTAAATATTTTTTACACATATATGCACCAATACAACATTACAGTTCATATGAGATTAGTAAACTTTTAACTTGATAACCTAAAACTACAGAATTGTTTTTTCATAGCTACAGTTCAAGAGAACATCCTGTCCTTAACCAATATTGTTCAATCTGTGTCAGAAACTGAAATTTAAATATAAGAAAAAATCACTTCTTAGGATAACTGAGGATGTTATTAATTATTTCTATAATATACTTTCATGTAAACATATTCAGTTGAGTCTCATAAAGACTTATGAAATTTAAAAAATACATGTGTACAATTACTTATTTGCTTCAGCATATGAACTAAAAATGGGATAATGTTAATATTAGAAATGGCTATAAATACAACTTCAGTTTGCAGAATGTACAGAATGAATTTATTTAGATAATAATAGTATTTTTTAATATCGCCCTACTATTGTTTAGGATATAAATATTTAACTAGGGATTGATGCTTTTGAAGTTCTAAGCCAGATGAGAAGGAGCAGGTAATGTTACATGTAATTAGAGTAAGTTTGTCTCGTATAAAAAATGGGATAAGCAACAGTTACAAAAAATTTGTTAGAAAGAAGTTTATGGGGCAATAACTACCAAAATAATAATACACTTTTGTTAATACGTGTTTCTACCGGCATAAAAGCTTAATATATAGCTCAGCTAATTAGCTCTGAAAAGACAGAATAACTTTGTGCATTTAACCTCTTTGTAAAAACATATTTTTAAAGATTTAGTGCCATATTTAGTGTGTAGGATAAGTATTAATAATTAAAAAAAATGAAGAAAGTTTGAAACTGAATCTGTAAAATAAAATTTTACACTTTTGAGAGGAATTTTGGTTGAGGAAGAAAGGAACGAGTCATTAGCTTGTTTCCAATAACCTTATGTTGTGGCTGAGGAGTCGGTAGGAAACCCAAGGGTTTTCTTGGCCAGCTTGAGGTTTGTTCTAATTTTGTTGATTGGTTCCAATTGTCTTGGGTACTGTAATTGTTAGAGTTAGTTGTTTTTGTCCATCTGAAAGTAAACGTTTGGTTTGATTGACTTTAGCTGATAACAGTATCAAGACACATATTACTGTATTTCTTCTTGAACTTACACAATTTAACACATTTTTTTTAAATGATAACAATATAAGTATATTTTAACCAAAGTTTTACATAAATCTCTACAATTTGTAAGGTTTTATTATTTTCCTCTGTAAACTATAAAATATGCAATTAATAATAATAAGGAGCAATGATAAGATGTAAAATGTTCATTTTCTGCTTAGTGAATCATCCATTTCATTGCATTTGTATTATATTGATTTCTTATAGAATAATTTCACATCTGTAGTAGATTAACAAACAAATTTATAAACACAATGATATTTTTTGTACAAATTATAGTACCTTGGTCTGTCTTCTTATCTAAAGACAGATCAAAGTAATGTAAAATCATGCATGTTTTCAATAATAAATATTGTTCGTTAATTTACTAATTTGTTAGCTTTCCTACATTAGTAATTCATTATCTGGTCTTTTATTTCTGTCAGGCTACAAGTTAGAAAGAAAGAATCTATAGCTGCTTATTTGAAACTTACTTCTTCTTGCTGGTTTTGTTGAATTGTTTGTTTCCACCTTTCTTCATTCTTCCTTTTTGGTTGCCTTTAAAGAACCCTTTCCTGGCTCGTTTTGTAGGCTTTCCACCACCTTTTCCACCATTAGCTTTTCTCTTGTTTCTCACAGGAACAGATGTTGATGGACCAGCATCAAAAAGAGTATCATCCTCCCACTTGTCATCAAAGAGCAAGTTGTGTTGTTCAGCCTTTTCTGCATCTAAAACTAATGAAAATACTTTAAAACATATTTTGTAATTTTTATGTGTACTCAGTTTTAAGTGAAAGTATAATAGCTTGACTAAGATTTTTCAGCAAGAAAAAAAAGGTAAGGTTTAGAAGCAGCAGTTGAGCTTAAAAGACACTGTTTATTATTTTAAATATAAAAAAAAAGGTAGGTTAATTATTAAATATAAACTTTGTAAATTAACTTTGCAATGGCCATAAAGTTTTATGTACAAATAACCTCACAAAATAACTTCCTTGTTAGATTTTTAAGACCACTGCCATTATAACTGTTAAAAGAAGTATTTTACACAATTTTAAGCGTACATTTATTCTAAGCTTATGGACCTGACAACTAGCCTTAGCAACTAACTTCCTTAGTTTTCTTCCTTAAATATAGCTTGAAATGAAACAAGAACAAAACAAATTTTAGTTTAAATTTTGATAAACTTTTAGCAGTTAAGTATGCATAGCACAAACAGCGGGTTCTATTATACAACTTGGTTCACCATTATTTTTTTATTTATCAAAATTCATCAGATTCTAATTTGAATGATTACACCAAGTAATGCTTTTCTCTCTTCTGCAACTACACACAACAATTAATTACGTTTCTGATATATTCAGCCCCCCCCTCCGGGAAAAATGTTTATTTGAAAAGGTATTAAAAGGAATAGATATAAAAGTATTTTTTAATTAGTGGTCTTTTAAAGTCAATTATTATAGATGTTAATAATTCCAAATGAATACAGTTCTATCCACCCCTTCAACTTAAAATATACACACAATTAGCCTTTTAAGTCAATTTGTTAGTGAGTATGTTTTTTGAAATTAGCTTAAGAGAACAAGAAATACAAGCCAGTATACAGATGATTAAACCAATATGGTTACATGTATTTACTAATTTACTTTCTAGTATAAAAATTTCTTTCATTTATTTTAATACATGTTTTAACAGTTTTAATTTAAAGGTCAAATAACATTGAGTACTACCTGTGAAAATACTTACCAACACGCTCTGCACTGAATCTCTGTGTAACATCCAAGAATTGCTGACCATATTTCTCAAAAATTACTTTGGTTATATGTGGAATTCGAAGCATCTCTTCTTCTGTCATGGGCATTTCCCTGGACATCTGTCTGAGAGCTTCTAAGTTGATCACATTTGTGTAATGTATGCAACGTTCTGCTGCAATGGCTTTGCTCAACTGTACAAGATCTGCATAACAACGCTCAATCAGTTTCTGAATTTCTTTATCTTCTTCGTTTTGTGGAACAGGTTGCACTGAGTCTGATCTCTTTGAACCACGTTTCATGTGGAAGTTTATCTATACAAAGATAATTATTGTAAGATTTTTTAGCATCTCGAAGCTCTATTAGCTATTACTATACAATATTTAACAGATGAAAAAGTAGCATTAGAAATGCTTGTGGATAAATCCCGACATTGAAACCTCCCCATATATATATATATACATACTAAATAATAATAATAACTTCTTATCAAAATAAACTATGTAGATACAGCAAAAAACAAAAATCAGTATCCCTAATTAAGCATACTTTTCTTACATTTCTACTTATACAGATTAGAATGTATTGTTGTATCAATTGGATACCCTTGTTGCTAATGATATTTTTAGGTAATTCTGATTCTAATATCGATAGGAAGATTATACTTGTGAATACACTTCACAATATATATCAGGGTTTCACTTAGTTACAAAGGCTTGTTAACTCTTGCTACAGGCATCTTTTTCAGTGTATGTCACATATTTTAGTGAGTTACATTCAAAATTTAATTAAATTACTTTCTTATCATGGTATACAAATACATTTTGTATAAAAGTGAAGCTAATAATCCAAATTTTGATAATGTATAAATTTTAAGTTCATATTTTATATGGCAATATTTAAAAAAATCCTGAATTACCCCTAGTATGAAAGTTATGACATTTTATCTTTAGACATCTAAGCTCATCAATGTAATTCCTGTGAGAACACATTTGAAACTGAACAATGAAATAGACAATGCCCTGTACAGAAAACAACAATTAAATAATACCTCATTTGATAGATTAATATCTTCAGTTTCTATTGGTTATAAATAATATAGGCGGGAATTATTGACAATTTACGAAAGATAGGATGTGAAAAGTGGGTGTGGCAAAAAGGGTTGATTTTGCTATTTGATGGCTCTGTAACTAAATAAAATTGAAGACAATAAAAAGTTTGCTTTGCCTGAGTGGTGACAACATTACAATGAGTAATTTACATTAAATTTCATACTCTTCAGAAGGGTGGTAAATAAATTAGAGAAAAGTGGATTGAGTTTTTAAAGGCTCTTGTCGCATTATTAGAAAGCCTGAAAATTGTGATAGTTATGGGATATAGTCTGCTTTTTGTATGTGATTATTTTGTGTTCTTAGGTGCATTATTTAAGTAAATAAAAAATTATTTAGTGCAGTAGTACCAATAGTATAAAAAGTAGGCTTAAGTTTCATCAACAGTAGACAGCAAATTAAAAAAGAAGACCCAGATAAGTATTTTATATCATGTTTTTCATGTGTATTATTTACTTACTAGTATCAAAGTAACTAAATGTGAAAACTTGAAATTTTTTAGGTTAGATTAGGTTAAATAAATAATAATAATAACATTTTTCCTGGGGTATGCTTCCGAGCAACTTGCAAGTAGCTTGTGCATTAAGTAATTTAATGGGGTAACATAAGCTGCACATTCAACAAGTGATTTAGAAATTGTATGGCAGGAATATCAGTTGCTGTTCAAAGGGCAGTAAAACAAAATGTAAGTATAAACAAATATATACTCTTAAGAGTTTAAAGCTATTTTGGATACAGAAGTAGTTTCATGTTACAATTTGAAGTCATTTCAGAAAGAAAAAATGGGTGATTTAGGTTTGTTTTTTTGTTGGTGGTTACAAGGTCAGTAAAATTGACAAACCTAGTATAGAGCTATGGTATAGAAAATAAAAGATAAAATAAAAAGTTTTACAGATAAAAAATGATTGAAATTTATTTAGAAGGTTTTATAGATTAAGCAAATGAAATTTGAGGTTTTCAGCTGAAAGTATTTTTAATCTTAACATGCAAATCACTTTGCATCCAGAGAAGTCAACACTTTGACTTCATATATTCATGAAGAAATGTTTAGTGAAAATACTTCATTAAAAATTCTGATTTTCTGTCTGCAAATGACTTAATATTTACTGAAAGCTTGTGCAATTTCGTGAAGATACACAAAACATATTAGAAGTTATAGTATGGAAACTATAGAGGTGACGTTGAGGTCGTTAACTTGGTGGATTCGACTGAACGCATAGCAGGAGAGTTAACATATCATTATTTTCCAGAGAAAGCATGCTGTATAAATAAAATAAAGCATTTCATTTCAAGTTGTTCAACCATTAAAAACTCACCTGAGTCTGACCTCTCAGCAGTTCCAAGTGACGCCTCCCAGGACGTAAGTATGTTGCTGCATGGTCCATATGGTTTATGACTAGATCTTCCTGAAGGAAGCCATCCATCACCAGCTTACGGACCAACCTTTCTGCATCCGAACGCTGGTAAGCTTGACCTTTGCCATGTAAAGGGAGACTGGTATGACCAGCGCTTTGAATCTTACTATTGTTTGAACCTGAAATGAAAGAGACAGAATCATTTATGTAAACCTTTGCAAATATTCAATATTTTCTGTATTATTTACAAAGAACTTTCATATAAGTAATGTAAATAATACTTCCTTTAAAATAAAGTTTTGTGGCTATTCTCTTTTTCAGGTTTATATCAAATCTTTATTAAAAAAGATTATCTTCTAATGGCTTTATCTTTCTTTTAATCAAACGAAGTAGGAATTCATTAAACTTTTATTTCAGTGAACCTATTTTAATACCATATAACTTTTAACATACAGTTTTGAAAAGTTTTATAATTAATTTGGAAGAGCAAATCATTTTTGTTAAAAACATGAATTATTATTATGAAAGAATATAGGCATGCAAAATAAAAACAAAAGAAACAAGATCAATATACCAAAAACTTAAGTACATGTTTCAAATAAGGCAGTAATATAAAAGCACGTATAATTAAAATGTACATATAGAGGGTTTTCATGAAGTTAGTTTGCCTATTCTAGTATCTATAACCTGAAAAAAAGAATAAAAAAACTATAAGTTTTGGTAGATGAACTAATGAGACAAAAGAAAGGTAACTCCAGTGCCAAAAATTTGTTACCAGAGGCATTGAGCAGGAAATGTGAAAACTGGGGATTGTTTCAAATCAGCATCTAATGTGCCAGGATTCATTCTGCATTTAGAAATGGATTCTAACAAGTTTTCTAATGATTATTAGCAATGTTTTTGTAAAGCATTGCTATAACAGTGGTAACAACACTGGTGCAGTAGTAAGACCTTGATGCTGTGAAAGTTGCAAAAACAAAGGCCATGCAACAGTGAGGTTTATTGGAAGTAGCTAAATATTTAACAAATAGGATTGATTGCTCCAGAGAACCTATTGAAGTCAGGCAAACAACAGATGCCATTAGAGAAGAGAATATTTTCTGGAAATTAATGCTGTATCAATTAATTTGCCAAGCATACTGGACTCTTACAGTCAACAGCTGGAAAGATTATGCATAATATACCAAGACTGTACCCCTTCAGGATAAATATTACCGAAGAACTGCTATCTGGAGGTGTATAAAAATACAGGCCTCCCCATGGGCCACTGCAAAAATAAAGGGTTTTTTTAAAGGTCACTATTCTAAAAATATATAGCAAATTGTAGTCTCACAAACCATTATATGGTGTTAAGTATATATATGTATATATAATTTATATTTGAGTGATAATAAACCTGAATTTCAAAATCATCTGTAAAACTTCCATGAAGAAATCCATTAAAATACTTTATGTGAGATGATAAGGATTTTACTATCAAAGTTCTGTTAATGCTGATAATGAAGTCTGAATTGTTTCTCCACATCAAAAGTACTGTAAAATCATTATATTTCCATGGATCTGTATTGGATAATTATAGTAATATCTTGACTATAATCTTGAATACTTTTTTGCAATATTTGTAGTTAAAATATTGGCTGACCTAATTTATAGGTGTTCTGGCCAATTTTGAGCAAAAAAGAAAGAAAATAAAGGTTTCACTGGGATGCCTGCAAATGGCTAAACTATAATTTCAATTCCTAGCTGAAGCATGAATCAATGCATGTGATGAAACTTGATTTTCCCTTCATTACTAAGTCAACACTCAAAATTGTGCCATCTGGAAGGAAAGCATGTCTTTGTACAAGAGCTATTGCATTATGAGAAAGTTACAGTATGGTTTGGATTCATGAGCCTCATTTCTCCAAGGAATTCTGAAATAACAGACTTCACACAGTGATAATAAATTCTATTAACCCATGCTGTCATTTTTAAACTTAAGGAAAAAAGGAAGAGTAGTTTTGAATAAAGACTTTGTGGAAGATGGTATTCCATTCCATATAGCACAAATTATCAAGATATTGCTGGGACATAGTTTTGGGAATTGAGTGATTGGCAGACATTTTCTTACGAGTGGTTAGCATAATTCATGTTTCATCCCTGGTGATTTTTTGGCTATTAAGCAACTTCAAATCAATGGTGTATTGTCACCTTGACAGAGCTGAAAAATAGCATATGATGCTAAGTGCAACTGTTAGAAATTGGGCAGTATTGTTTAGCTGTAAAACCTACATTCTCATAAATGAAAGCAACAGTGGATGTGAATAGTGATGGATCAAATGCTGTTAATATGTTAGCTGTGCAAATTTTCAATTATTTTTTTGTGCTGGAACTTCTTGTTTCATCATCTTATTAATCTATCAAATATAGCACTCTGATGATAGTTTTGAGTTATTAATGTTAGAATAACCCAACTAAATTTATAATAACCATGTATGTTTGTGTTAAAATAAATATTTATATGTTTACTTCATGTCAAATTATCTTCCAAACATATCTTGATAGGAGTGAAGCACACTCTTCTAGCAGACTTACCTTTGAAAATGTCCACAATATAGTTCAATGTATAATTGTTCTGTCGTCTAATTCCAACCATATTTAATACACATTGCACAATTGCTTTGGCATCTTCAGTAACGTTACACATTTCATAAGTTTCCTGAAACCATATTCAAAAAATATAATAAAAATTGTCACTCTTAAGATTATAATAAATATTAGAAATGACAAATTAAACTTAGCTTTAAATAAAATAAATTTAAAAATGTAAAGAGCATGTAAAATCAAATGAAAAAAACAACAACATGAAACCAACAGTACTTTATTTATCAAACTCCGAAAGAAAAATTAGAGAGCAAAATAAAAATGTTTAATGTGTGCAACAAAATGTTCAGACTGTGATATTCAAGTACACTGATATCCAAAACAAATTTAATGTATCTGCAAAAAATATAGATTGAGGATGCAGAGGAAAAAAGATTAACATAAATAATCAAAATATTCATTTAAAGTAAGTGTAGTCATTAATTTTCCAAACTGACTGACTTCATATTTGTGAGAATTCTAACAAGTCAGATAAACAATCCTAATGTGTTATCCCATAAACCAAAACTAGGTACATCACGGACTATTCTAAATAACACATATAGGAAATCTCCCTTCAAATTCATACCAATTTGTTCAAGTATCTCTGTCACCCTTTGATATGGTCTCCCTCCCAGGGGTGGACAGACACAGTCCCAAAGTGATACAAACTTCTACAATTACCATATGTAACCTTTACCTAGTAAAAGGATTATACAGTTTGTGGTCTTTAAACATCTTGTTAATTAGAACATCATAACTACATGTAAAACCTCTGCATGAAAATTTAGAAACATTATCTGAACATACCTAGCTAGTTATAGAAGAGTCAAATTAGTTACTATTTCAGTTACCACAAGACAATGCATGTGCTCTTTGTGAGCATATTTCTATCTATAATATTCTATGTAGGTTATCTATAATAATAAAAGGACATGTGTGACCACCATAACTCCAAGAGGAAAGAACTTAGAAATCTGAAATTTTGCACCCATATTAAGTGGACCTGAGGGTGTGCACCTGGGTATCATTACTTATCTTATCCGTATGTATGCACATCTTCTTAATGAGGCAAGCTAGTGAAAAATCACACAGAAAAGAAGTGGTTCCTTATATTACAAAATACTAAGTGGACCCTGAGGGGTGTGCACCTGGGTATTTTACTTATATTAGCCACGTGCATGCACATCTTTTTAATGAGGCAAGCGAGCAAAAAAAAAACATAGAAGACAAGTGGTTCCTTATATTACAAACTAGCAAAAGTAACCAGCTTTGCTCAGCTTATTAGGTTGACATATTCTAGACGACTATATCAGTGTGTGTATTCTAAACTTAGTTTAGCATAGAAGAACAGTCAAAAATATTTTAAACATTTTTATTTCTCAGAAACATAAAAACATAGTCATCTAGAATATATTGACATAACCTGAGCAAAGCCGGGTACTTTCACTAGTATTTCTCATAAAGCTGAAAGCTTTGCAAAGTAGAATTAACTGGAAATTTAGCAGTATAAATATTCAAAGAAAAGGTCCATAATCCAAAAAAATTATTAAGTCAAGAAAAAATCCATACTTTAATAATACTCCTACTTGCATAATATTAAGTTTTTTCTACCATAAATCTGTGAACAAGGACAGCATAGTCCATGATTCTCACTGAAGTTAAAAATACTTACATAGAAAGTTTTTGTTCAAGAGTCATGGAAATTAAAAGAAACAGAGAATAACACTGGACAACAAAAACTTTGCTACAGGAGAAAACTCAAGTGATTTGGGGTAATCTGATGGTGCTGATTTCAAAATTGTAGTCAGAATTTGTCCATCACCTCTAGCTTTTAAGTTATTGTAATATCTCAATATTTTATCAGCACTATGTGAAATACCATGTAATCAACTCAGTACAACAAATTTATGCTGTGAAATTAAGTTTACTTGACAGTTTAATGGGTAAGAAGCATACATTTTTGATAACTTCAAACTGACTGAATTGTATTGGTATAAAATTCTAAATATATTGTTCATTTATGTGCTATTTGTTCTTGATATAATTGTAGTAATTGCACCATTTTTGCTTCATTCCCATGCTCATTTGCTCTGCCCAGAAATCATGAAACCCTCACATGCTCAGTTTGCTAGAACGTTTGAGAAGTCCCTCAAGTGAGCATAAAAGGGGTGGAGTCAGACGTTTATCTTACAGTCACCTCTTACTCACTCACTTGGACAATTTGCCTCATTCTGCACACACAATCAAAACAAAGTCCGATCTTCCTACTTGCATCATACCTACGATATAATGAAATTCTGCAAAACTTGTTTTTGAAAAATCATTTAAACTTTAGTTCTGTAAATATAAATTATTTTATATATTTTAGAAAATCATTTGAAATGCTGGCTGCCTCCAGTTCAAGTCAAGTCTGAAAGTACAAAAATCACCCAAACAGTTTCTGCTACATTGGTGGAAAATATATTACAGTTTCACAAAAGAAAAACATCACACACTAGGTAAAGGTAGCTTACTACCAATATTTTGGGTGTGAAATTGGGGACCAAGAAAAACTTGGCTCCACATGTGTGCTGTAAAATTTACATAGCTGGCTTGACACAATGGCTGAATAAGAAGAGAGAGGGTATGGCATTTGTAGTTCTCCCATGATATGGCCTGAGCCCAAAGATCATTAAACTGACTGTTATTTTTACCCGAATAATGTTTATATATATTCAGGTAAAAACTAAACAACACACTAGATATCCAGATATTGCATCTGTAATGAAGCCAGTACCTCATGGGGATGGTTTTCCAGTGCCACATCCATCAGCAAATTGGGAAACAGAAGAGTTATCCTGCAAAGAAGACAATGAATCATCTTCATCTAGTAATTCTATTCCTGTGGCACCTCAACATAAACTACCTCATCTGATCACACAAGTGCTAAATGATCTGATTCATGACTTGTCTATGTAAAAGCAGCATGGGGAATTTCTTGGCTCTCATTTACAGCAATGGAATTTATTAACTCCAAGAACAAGAGTTTCGATTTACTGAAGTCAACATCAGAGTATTGCTTCTCATTACAGCATACTTTGTTTCTGTACAAATGTTGATGCACTAATGAAAGAATTAGGTACTAAACATCATCCTCAAGAATGGAGACTTTTTATTGACACATTTAGAGTTGGAGTGAAAGCTGTAATTTTGCACAATGGGAACACTGAGCCATCATTTCCTGTTGCTTATGCTCTGAACATGAAAGAAACTTATTAAAGCATGCAAATTATATTTAAGGCCATCAAATATGATCACCCTAGGTGGTGATCCAAAAGTTATAGCACTCCTGCAAAGTGGATATACCAAACATTGTTGCTTATTGTGTCTCTGGGACAGCCGAGATGAAAAAAATCATTTAAAAAAGAAGGAATGGCTAATGAGAGAGAATTGCATTCCAGGGAAACAGAATATGGAGTGTCAACCTTTAGTGAATCCTCAAAATGTGTTTCTACCCCCACTTCATACTAAACTGTGACTCATGCAAAATTTTGTAAAAGGAATGAACAAAGATGATAATGGTTTCAGATATCTGCCTGACAAGTTTCCAAAAATCAGTGAAGCAGAAATGAAAGAGGTATCTTTGTTAGGCCACAGATTTGAGAAGTGCTGATGGACAATGATTTTGAAATAGTACTCAATCAGAAAGAACTTGCTGCCTGGAAGTTATTCTAACTGGTTGTCAAAAATTTCTTAGTAAATCACAGAGATGAAAACTAAGCTGTGATGATTGATGATATGCTTGAGGAATAGGATATCACTAAAGATGCACTTCTTACACTTCGTTCCAAATGATGTAGATGCAGTGAGCGATAAGCATGGCGAGCACTTTCACCAAGATATTTCTACAATGGAACAGCGATATCAAGGATGATGGAATCCTGCAATGATGGGAGATTACTGTTGGTTTATACAATGTGAAACTGAGAACATACACAAAAGGCACAAGTCAAGCAGATATTTGGTAACAAAAAATAATAATACCATGATGAAAGTTTTGAACACAGCTTGAACGTATTTTCAGCAAATAATCTTATCATACTCATTGCTTTTTTAAACTGATGTTGCTATTATGTGTTGTTTTTGAACATTCTTAAATGCAATTTTCAATGAATAGTTATTTTCACAGTATACAAGAATATTTTGAATAAATCTATCATAACTCAAAAACTAGTTTTCAACATAATTTTTAGAATCAATATTGTAAAATTACTCAGAAACATTTGCATTTTTTCTAACAACAGAGAAATTTTGTTGTTGTTGTTGTTGCTCCGTGTATTAGCAATTCAAACATGTACAGCACTGAAAAAGACCAAATATTTGAAGGCTAGCAATTGTACCATAAATCAAAGGTCACAGTCATGATAAAAATAATCCATAGTTTCCTTACAACATTGGGCCACTTGTACTGAACAATATGTTTCATGTTACAACTTTGCAGTAAAGTGGGAGCTAGTGATAACGTAACACAATAATGCAACAGGAACAATGTTCTGAGACAATAAATATCTCCAGTAATATTATGTTTTAGTTAGGGGAAAATATCAATTAGTAGTATGGTTAAGCATATTAACATATTGTATTTCATAAATACTGAGGGAAAATCAACTATTTTTTGAAGGAAAAATAATTGTTTATGTATTACAGTGTGATGTAGTCTAGCAATTATACAAAAATATATTTGATTGAATTGAACATAATTTCAAAGCCCATAGCTAATTTATAAAACAAGCTCATAACCTTTGACAATCTGTGGTCCAAAAGACCTCTGTACAGTTAGAAAACATTGAGTTGCTTGGGTATTATACAATGAACCATGATGTTACAAGTAAGGACTTGCTTAGTTTTATCTTCTTTTTTTTTCATTTCTTGTTAGTTTAGCAATATTTCTGTGATCATTGTAATAGATTTAAAGTTGTTAAGCATCTTATCACACTTACTGGTGATAATATATCATTAAAAACATGACTAGGACATTGTAACATCATAACTAACAAGCTATCATTGCTGACTCTAACCAGGACTTCTAGTAAA